TGATTCTTCCTAACCATGAGCATGGAATGTTTTTCCATCTGTTTGTGTCCTCTCTTACTTCCTTGAGCAGTGGTTTGTAGTTCTCCTTAAAGAGGTCCTTTATATCCTTTGTTAGTTGTATTCCTAGATATTTGATTCTCTTTGTAGCAATTATAAATGGCAGTTCGTTCTCGATTTGGCTCTATTTAAGTCTGTTATTGGTGTATAGTAATGCTTGTGATTTCTGTACATTAGTTTTGTATCCTGATACTTTGCTGAAGTTGCTAATCAGTTTCAGGAGATTTTGGGTTGAGACGATGGGATCTTCTAAATGTAAAATCATGGCTGTCTGCTAACAGAGACAATTTGACTTCCTCCTTTCCTAATTGAATACCCTTTATTTCTTTATCTGGTCTGATTGCTCTGGCTAGAACTTTCAATACTATATTGAATAGGAGTGGTGAAAGAGGGCATCCTTGTCTAGTGCCAGATTTCAAATGGAAGGCTTCTAGTTTTTGCCCATTCAGTATGACATTAGCTGTGGGTTTGTCATAAGTAGCTTTTATTACTTTGAGATAAGTTCCATTGATACCTAGTTTATGGAGAATTTTTAACATAAAGGGATGTTGAATTTTGTCAAAGGCCTTCTCTGCATCTATTGAGATAATCATGTGGTTTTTGTCTTTGGTTCTGTTTATGTGGTGAATTACATTTATAGACTTGCATATGTTGAATCAGCCTTGCATCCCTGGGATGAAGCCTACTTGATTGTGGTGGATAAGCTTTTTGATGTGCTGTTGCAATTGGTTTGCCAGTATTTTATTGAAGATATTTGCATCCATGTTCACCATGGATATTGGCCTGAAGTTTTCTTTTTTTGTTGAGCTGGGACTACAGGTGGATGCCACCACACACAGCTACTAATAATTTATTATATTTTTGTAGAGACAGGGTTTTGCCATGTTGCTCAGGCTGGTCTTAAGCTCCTGGGCTCAAGTGATCTGCCTGTCTCAGTCTCCCGAAGTGCTGGTATTACAGGCCTGAGCCACTGTGCCCAGCTGGTGGAGCTGCTGTCAACCTAGACAGGGAGGAATCAGGGGAGAGTAGGTTTAAGAGGCATGATCAAGAATTCAGTTTTGGACATGACTCTAGAATTTAAGACAGAGGTCTGGACTAAACATAACTTTAGTAGTCTGTGGTATATAGAAGGTACCTAAAGCCTTGAAACTGATTGAGATCAACAAGGTAGCGGGTGTAGGTAGAAAAGAATCATGGGTTGAGCCCTGGAGCACTCACACATTTAGAGTGCAGGAAGAAGAGGAGGAATAGCAAAGGAAGCTGAGGGGTGACCAATGATGTAAGTCAAAATATAAGAGAATGTGGTATTAGAAGTCAAATAAAGAAAGTTTCCAAGAAGGAGGGGGTGATCAGCTGTGTCAAAACTAAAGTGAAGACTGAAAATTAATTATTTTACTTAGCAATGATGTGGACATGTATGACCCTGAAGAGAGTAATTTTAGTGGCGTAAGGTGGGAGGGGTGCCTCTAATCAGAATTGGTTTAAGAGAAGATAAGAGGAGAATATTAGAGACAGTGAGAATATTCAACTCTACACCATAAAGGGGAGCAAAGAATTGGGGCCAAAGACAGAAGGGGGAAGTGGCATCAGAAATTTTTGTTTGTTTTAAGTTGAAAAAAACAACATCATATTTGTATGCTCATGGCATTGAGCTGGTAAAGAGTGAAAAACTGATCATGTAACAGGGACCAGAGAAAGCAGGCGCCCTTGATGCCTTTGAATTGGTGATAGGATAGGATCCAGGACACAAATGAAGTCTAATGATTTATATAGGAACCTAGATAATGCATCCATGGAAAACAAGAAGAAAGAGTGTGTTGGCACAGTTGCTAGTAGATAGTTCTATGTGGCAGTGTGAGTCCAGGGAAGTTTTTTTTTTTTTTCTGATGCATCAGTATTCTCAATAAATATTCTCAAGATCATTGGTGGAGAATAAGATAATGGGACTTGAGTAAAAAGAAAGTACAGCATAGCTTTCAAGGAGACCAGAAGAATGTATGGGCTAAAGGTGCATAGTATGTTTGTCCAGTGGCATAAAGGACTCTCTTGAGAGTCTTGGCCTTGATTTTAAACTGAGTTCAATTAACAGGATTTTGGTTTTCCACCCACCTTCCCCAACTATACTCAGGTGCATGGGTGCAGAGCCAACTTAGAAAATTGTATTTAGTCAGGATTGTAGACTTGCCAAGAGAGCTCAACAAAGTGAGACAAAAGCAAGGGAATGAAGAGCATATGCAAGGGAGTATAATAATTGGCCATGGACTTAACAGATAAGCAGAAAAGTGAGGATGTCAAGAGGGTGGAGCCAGAAAAGAGGCAGCGAGATTTTGGATTGGATATCTGGTGAAGGGAAAGGATTGCTGGGGTCAGAATACTACAGGGAATGTGCTAGAAGGACAGGAGATGTGGTCAGAGAGTGGATTCATGAAAGAAATTAGAGATGGGATGCAGTTATTGATAATGACAAATTCTAGGGGATGATCATGGGAGTGAGTGGCTAAAATGGAGCATTGGGCAGAGCACAATGTCACTGGAGGAGAGGAGTCAAGGAACTGAGAGGCCAAGGCATTGGAAAGCTCACCATCTATTCTACATATGTATATGTATTTATTTTTTAAATTTTTGTTTTGTTTCATCAACTTTTATTTTAAGTTCCAGAGTACATGTGCATGATGTGCAGGTTTGTTACACAGGTAAACATGTGCCACGGTGGTTTGTTGCACAGATCATCCTACCACCTAGGTATTAAGACCAGCATCTATTAGCTATTCTTTCTGATTCATTCCCTCCCCCCACCGTCTCCCCTGACAGGCTCCAGTGTGCCTTGTCCCCTCATGTGTCCATGCGTTCTCATGGTTCAGCTCCCACTTATAAGTGAGAACATGCAATGTTTGATTTTCTGTTCCTGTGTTAGTTTGCTGAGGATAATGGCCTCCAGCTCCATCCATGTCCCTGCAAAGGACATGATCTCATTCCTTTTCATGGCTGCATAGTATTCCATGGTGTATATATACCATGTTTTCTTTATTCAGTCTATCATTGATGGGCATTTGGCTCGATTCCATGTCTTTGCTATTGCGAATTGTTATTCTACATATATTTTAAATCACTGAGAACTAAGACAGGATTAGTACTGGAGAGAGTGACAATGAGCCAGGAACTAGACAGTCTAAAAATGATGAGAAGGAATTGGAGTGTGGGAAATCAGCAATTGACAGCAACAATGGTGATATAATCTGATGATATAAAAATCAAAACTCAAAGACAGTTTAAGGAATAGGGAGGAACATGGTCTGAGAACAACTGCCAACACTGAAAACACAGGAAATTTCACATACTCTAGCTTTTACATAGGACCCTTGCTTCTTGGTAAATTACAACATCTGGCAAAGCAGGCCTTTCTGATTGCTTCCCTCATCTGCAGTGATTTCCTGGTTCTTCTGAGTATGTGAGTTTGCCTACCCTGTAGCAGCAATTCAAGAGTTACCAAATAATTAATGGCCTCTTGACTCTGTTGTTCAGTGTGTTCAAGTAGTCCCTTTAAGACGTGTAGAGAGGGCTGGGCGCAGTGCCTTATGCCTGTAATCCCCAGCACCCTGAAAGGCCGAGGGGACAGATCACTTGAGCCCAGGGGTTTAAGACTAGACTGAGCAACAACGCAAAACCCCGTCTCTACAATAAATACAAAGGTTAGCGGGCCGTGGTCGCCTGCACCTGTAGTTCCAGGCTGAGGTGGGAGGATGGCTTGAGCCCAGGAGATGGAGGTTGCAGTGAGCTGAGATTGCACCACTGCACTCCAGCCTGGGTGACAGAGTGAGGAAAGGAGGAGGGGAGGGGAGGGGAGGGGAGGGGAGAGGAGGAAGGTAATATGCCTTACGTAACCTAGACGATTTCAAAACAATTTTACTTACACTCTGTGTTGAAGGCAAGAAGAAAGATTCTGTGAAGCACTTTGAGGAAGGATAAAATGATGGAACAATGTTTCATCAGGGAAGCCTAGGAGGAAGAGAATTTCTTAAAACCAAGTAGGTGTATGGAGGAGGGGCCACCTCGTGAGGAAAAGGAACATAATTTTACTCTGATTTGGTGTCTCTTCTGTTTTTCTGTTGTTGGTATCTACATCCATCTTTTCTAATAATCATTCCATATATGCACATTTTTATCTGTTTCAATGCAGTAAAAGTTGGGAGGAAAATGTGACACACTTTTAGAGTGTCGTGAGCTGAGTGGGGTTGTGAGTGATTATTTTCTTTTTTCAGTTTTTTTCTGGGCTTTCCAAGTGTTCCTTAATGAACATGGATCGCTTTTCTGACAGAATAAAAAAGAAATAGGCCGGGCGCAGTGGCTAATGCCCCCAAACGCAGGACTTTAGGAGGCCCGAGGTGGGAGCATCGCTTGAGGCCAGGAGTTTGAAACCATCCTGGGCAACGTAGCGAGACCCTCTCTCTACGAAAAAAGACAAATAATAATTAGCCGGGCGTGGTGGCCCACGCCTGTGATCCCAGCTACTCGGAAGGCTGAGGTGGGAGGATCGCTTGAGCCCAGGAGGTGGAGGCCCCAGCGAGCTGAGATCGTGCCACTGCGCCACTGTCTGGCAGCAGAGCACGACCCTGACTCAAAACAAAGAAAAAAGGAAGAAAATACAGGAAGGAAAGAAGGCATGGAGAAACTTTCAAAAATAAAGTGTTGAAAGAAGTGATGACACTTCTAGCTGTCCACGCGAGGAGACCGCCCCCATGGGCCCGGTGGGCTCGCCGGAGCTCTGAGCTCTTGGCTTTCTCCAGCCCTCACTCGGCTGGTCTCTGCAGCCCCGTCCCCACCACAGAGGCAAGAAGGGGCGCAAAGCCAGCGAAGGGAGAGCTCAGGTCCGGGAGCCCCCAGGCCCGGCCGGGCAACCCCCGGGGCATCTCCGGCGAGGCGCGCCTTGCGTCACGTCGGCACCGCCCTGCCGCGGCCGAAGCACGGCGTGTTCCAAGGGCTCCGCCGCCGCCGTCGTGGAAGCAGGATTTCCGCGGTTGTGTAAGCGCCGGTCGCGGCCGTGCAGGGGCCTGGGCTCCGCCTAGTCCCCGGGGCTCCAGCCGCCGAGCCATGGCGGGGAACTGCGGGGCCCGCCGCGCGCTGTCGGTGCACACGCTGCTGTTCGACCTGCCGCCGGCGCTGCTGGGGGAGCTGTGCGCGGTCCTGGACAGCTGCGATGGCGCGCTGGGCTGGCGCGGCCTGGGTGAGTCGGCGGGCGCCGGCGGGGAGCGGCGGGGGAGCCCACGGCGCCGCGGAGCCCACTTGGCGCCGCACTGCAAGGCTCGGGTCGGGTCGCTCGCGGGGCTGGCGCGGCCTTTGGGAGGTTCCCACCGGGAGCCTGCCCCCTCCTTTTCCGGGGAAGGCGCAGAGACTCCCTGGGACCCAGAGGCCGGCCCTCCCTTTCCTTTCAAAGAGTTTTGGGTATCGCCGCAATGTCCAGGGAGCCGAGGCCTGGGAAAGACGGATCACCCGCGTGAAAGCATCTTCTGTGCGTCCGCGATGCCACCCTCACTGCCTTTGCCACGTGTGATGTCTTCTGGTCCTTGCAAAATCGCCCCAGAGTATGATTTTCAGATTGAGACATTTTTAGAACTTTCAGATGGTGTTTTCAGTGCATCCCTAAGCCCCTAACTTAATTACAAATGAAATGCAAAAGTAAAATACGATTTGCAGTGAACGTGGCTCCTAGTTTTCTTAATTAAATCTATCTTGTTTATTTACCCAATTTGTGGAATGAAGGTTTAGGCTGGATAGCGACTTTTTATTTTAATCAAAACATTGGCTCCAAAACTGTATTTTATGCAGACATTCGAAAGTTTAGCAACTGCCCGCTGGAAGTGTTGAGTGTAGCCAGAGATAATTCAGACAAAAGTCTTTGTTTTGTTAAGTACAGGCATTTTTGGTTAGATTTGACATGCCACAATGTCGCTTTTAATGTTTATTGAAAAGAATCACGATTATGTCAAAATAGCTTTAATGGTCTGAAATGGGATTTCTGAAATAGGAATAGCAGAAGACCTAAGAGGAGCGTTTTCTTTGTTACCGATGAACAGTATGGTCACAGTCTTTGAATTGTAGCAATGGGCGTCTAGTTATACAAAAAATGTTTGTATATTTTGAGCTCTGTAATTTTAAGTTATGGCCCTTAAGTTTAAAAAAAAAAAAAGTCTCAGAAAAGTGTCCTCTGATTTCTGGAAAACAGATTTCCAGTGTGCATTTGAGGGATTTTGAGGGATAAGGTCACTCCCCCATCAGATCTTTTTGAGATGGATCGTGGCATGGGCAGTATTTACAACCGTGGATTTCCTAGATTTACTGACTTTGTGAAAGAAAAGTGTTTTTAGTCCAGTTCACCAGTAGTGAATGGGGCCAGCTGGATGTCATAAATGAGTGGGGCAGATTATTCGTTCTCTCTTTCTCTCATCTCTGTTGATAGCATTGAAATCCAGATAGTCATACTTTACATGGTTTATCTCATATAACCCCTCCAATCACGTTGTGAGTCATTATCATCTCCAGTGGTTTTTGTTTTTTTTTTTTTAAACAGATCGGGAAACTGTGGTACAAATTGGTTAAATAACTTGTTCAAGTTCACCAGCTGGAAGTGGAAGAGCCAGGATCTGGACCAAGGCAGTCTGGATCCAAGGCATCTGTCCGTCACCCCAGCCACTCTACACTTCGCCCCTTACTGCTGTGCTCATTTTGTCTACAGCCTCCCTAAAGTACAGACATTTCTGGCATCAAAGAACAAATCAGTGAGCCGTTTCAGTCATGCAGTCTCATTTTCCTGGTGGTGAAAATAAATGAGGACCACCCAAATGAGAACAAACAAAAGCTGTTTATTCAAAGCAAGGCAGTCAGCCACCATTACTTGAGTTTGGCAGAGACTCAAAAGCAGGCAGAGGATGGAGGAGGGTGGGAGAAGGCTTCAGCTATGTCCTGACTGGAGGCTGTTGATATGGGGAAGCTGTAGCTGAGCTACCCAAAAGCGAGGCATTCTTTGTGTTTGTTTAGGAGTAGATAATTGGCTTTCTCTGGTTGGCCCTAAGTTGGAAGTAGGAGCAAAAATTGAGGAAGCTGTCAGTAATTAATCAAGTCCTTGCCATTTGGGGCAGGTTGCTACAGGGGTTTGTGTTTGGCTGCCTGGGCTAGTTGCTACAGTTTGCAATTGTTGACAGTTTAACTTGTTAGATACTGTAGACGGTTGGTCGGCTTCTTGGACTGATTGATGCACATTGTCTTCAGAGTTATATTTTTATGTATAAGCTGGCCATTGTCCCTTTGTGTCATTCTCTCACAGAGAAAGGGTCTAAAATGTTCACTCCGTGACACTTCAGCTGTAATTCATCGTGCAGGTGGTCATGCCTACTGACTGCCTGGACTACTGATCTGGCCCTGACCATGTGCTTCACAGTTGTTGCCTCAAGAAGGCAAGGCTAGCCCAGTTCAGGGTGTTGAGGCAACTGTGTGCTAAACATGCTGAGTTTTCCTATGGGCACAGTGAAGGGAGAAAGAGGGGAAGAGATGCAAGTAGGGAAAACTTGACCTTTGCTAGGGGAAGGAGAGTGATGGAGGACTGAATCAAAGAGGCAGACCCTTGTATGCTCAGGACAACTGAGAGCCCACGTTTAAATATAGAAAACAACTGTCATGGTACTAAGTAAAGCTCTCTCAGGCTGATCATCATTCTTGATGATGGTGAATGTCAGGCTGTGTTTACAAAGGCAGCTCATACAGCAGCCTATATGATATGATCAGTGTGTGCAGGATAAGGTAAGCCAATCATTCACAAACCCAAATCATCTATGCAGTCTTTTACATACACAGATGCCCAGGTCCCACTCCTAGAGCTGCTGATTCGGTAAGTCCAGGTTGAGGGTCTAGCATCTTTCATTTTTTGTCAAGCCCCAGGAGTGAGTCTGATGCACAACCTGATTGGGAAGCCATTGCTTAGGCCAAATTCTCTTCTTGAATAGCATCTTTACATAACAAATACTTTACTACAGTCTTTCGTTACCTCATTTAATTACTTTTATCTTTAAACATATTCCACATATTATTCTGCAAATCACTTTTGTCAAATATTGTTATTAAAAATAATGTAATCACAAGATAATGTATTCTGTGGTTATCATTGATGACTTTATGGCTTTTAGTGAAAGCAAGAGCCAAAATCTTAAATTGGAAAATGTTATTTACCTTACAGACATGATAACGTATATACAGAACCTCTGTAAGACAACTCATCTGATTGCATTACCATAGATTGGTATTTAAATTAAATTGTTTAGAGCAGCTGACACCATAAAACCTCTTTCCACTTATGATGCACTGAGAAATGCTTTTTGCAGATAATATGTAATAGGCTGTATTCAATTTTCTTCCTCTCAAGAAAGGAAAGAGAAATTACCGTATAAATTATTACTAATTACTTAAAGAAATTAAATGTAAAATCACATTAAGTTTGCATTTATGTATTCAATAAAGATTCAAAGTATAAGTAGTAATAATAATAAAGCTATCTCCTATCAAGGGCTTACTATCGGCCAGACACTGTGGTAAGCATTTTACATGGATCATCTCATTTGCTTATCACAACAATTCTATGAGGTAGACACTCTTCCTATTTCCATTGTATAGATAGGGGAACTGATTCTCAGTGAATTTAAGTAACTTGCCTTGAGTCACAGTCCTCTAAATGGCACACTGAGATTCTAACCAGATGATCAGACTGCATAGTCTATGTCCTTTCTTTTCTTTTTAAATTTTAGATAGATTTTTTTTTTTTTAGGAACAGTTTTAAATTTGTAGAAAAGTTCAGAAGATAGTAGGAAGAATTCCTGGGTACTCTGCATCCTTCGCATACACTCTGCACCCAGTTTCCCATTATTAACATCTTACATTCATGGGCTACATTCATTACAACATTGACACATTATTATTAACTAAAGTCCAGGCTTTATTCAAACTTCCTTCGCTTTTACCTGATGTCCTTTCTCTGTTCCAAGATCCCATCGAGGATACCACGTTATATTTAGTTGTTGTATCCTCTTGACTGTGATGGTTTCTCAGATTTTTCTCGTTTTTGATGACTTTGACAGTTTTGAGGAATACTGGTTGGTCCTTATCTGCTATTTTGTAGACTGTTCCTCACTTGGGATTTGTCTGATGTTTTTCTTATGATCAGACTGAGGTTATGGATTTGGGGGCAGATAACCATAAAGTACCGACCTGTATTCAGGGTCAGTATAATTTACAGGAGTTAGCACTGTTGATATTAATCACTGCTGATGTTAACCAGGCTGAGGTGGTATCTGTCAGCTATCTGCCCTGTACAATTACTGTATTTCCCCCTCTTTCTGTTTTGTACTTTTTGGAAAGAAATGACTATATGCAGGAGAGCCTGCGTTTTTTTGTGTTGCTGTTGTTGTTGTTGTTGTTGTTGTCACTCTGTCGTCCAGGTTGAAGTGCGGTGGCACGATCACAACTCACTGCAGCCTCGACCTCCCAGGCTCCAGTGATCCTCCCATCTCAGTTTCCCAAATAGCTGGAACTGCAGGCATGTGCCACCACACCTGGCTAATTTTTTGTAGAGATGGGGCCAGGCTGGTCTCAAACTCCTGGGCTCAAGGAATCCTCCTGCTTCAGTCTCCCAAAGTGCTGGGATTACAGGTGTGAGCCTCCGTGCCCAGATAAGCCTGGTTTTTTGACCACTGTGTTATTTATCTCACATTACAACGTTATGTCTAACTCTCACTGCTCCTCTAAGTTAACACTCCACTGCCCTCTTCCTCTTTATGGTAAAATTCCTCAAAAGGGCTGTTTATACTCCCTGTCCTCCATTCTTCTTTGAACCCCTCCAGTCAGGCTTTCACCTCCCACTGCTTCATTAAAATTCCTCTGATCCGAAGTCACCACAGCTAAATTCAATGGTTGGTTCAAAGTTTTGATATTATTGGATGTAGTTGATCACTCCTTCCTTCTTGAAGCACTTTTTCTGCTCTAGAACATGGCATGCTCTTGTCGGGCGCTATGGCTCATGCCTGTAATCCTAGCACTTTGAGAGGCCCAGGTGGGTAGATTGCTTGAGGTCAGGAGTTAGAGACTAGCCCGGACAACATAGTGAAACCCCGTCACTACTAAAAATACAAAATTAGCCTGATGTGGTGGTGGGCGCCTGTAATCCCAGTTACTTGGAGGCTG